CCCCCCCCCCGCCACCACATGAATTTTGTGCACCGGGCCTCTAGTTATACTAATTATATTCATTATTTTAGGATTATACAAATATATTCATTATTTTAGGATTATACAAATGCGGCACTAAAGAAAAACTTAAACTCACCTAGTTACATAGATGAATGAATTTGAATGCAGAGGACAAATACCTTGCTTGAGCATGTACGACTAGTTTAATAAAAAAAAAAAAAAGTAGACGGTAGACAGACTTCACTTGTTTGACTTCTTGTCCAGTGTCCTTTCAGTTTCAATAATTTATTTGAAATTTTTTTCTTATTTCAGTAAATCTCAGGGTGAAATGAATTAAGAAGTAGATATTTTATTTCATAGTTCTTGTTGAAATTAATCAAGACTCTATAATATAAGATATCTCTAATTTTTCACTTCATATTTAAGTCAGCTGCAGTGTAGGTTGTTAATGAGCTACTGTCATTCTTAACCTTTTATAGTTAGCTTATAATTATATTTGTCACACAGAATAGATTTTTACTGTGGTCCAAAATTTAAAACACTTATAGTTTAAATTCTGTTTGTCCATGAAATTATAATGTAGTAAAATCCAATCTACAGAAAGTTTCAGTATTTAAATTAATGTAATTTCTTAGCTGCCATCCTGCAGTTAAACATTGTTCTATGAGACTTGCTTTCATAAAAAAGAAGTTTAGAAAGATTTAAAAATGCAAAACTGATGTCAGCACAAGGTATTTATTTTATGTAGTGTCATTTAAAAATCTACAAGTTAATTTGGAGAGGGATACATTTTAATGTGATTAGCAGTACAGAGGCAGGATAGTGTACTTGCTTTTCTATTTATTTCCTTTAAGTGGGGATTTTACACCAAACCATTCCTTTACAATGTTTTCAAGACCTTTCATAGATGGAGTTTCTTTCACTAAGACACTTTTATTTCTCATCCTTGCCCTCTTTGGCTCTAGGACCTCTTCCATTTTTTAAAAAAATTATCTTTATTGTTTAAAGCAGTGGTTTTCAACCTTCTGGCCTTTAAATACAGTTCCTCATGTTGTGACCCAACCATAAAATTATTTTTGTTGCTACTTCATAACTGTAATGTTGCTACTCTTTTGAATCGTAAATATCTGATATGCAGATGGTCTTAGGCGACCCCTGTGAAAGGGTCGTTCGACCGCCAAAAGGATCTCGACCCACAGGTTGAGAACCGCTGGTTTAAAGTATTACATATGTCACCCCCCCCCCCATTAATCCCCCTCATCTCCACTCCCATCCCCTCCCCAGGCCTTTACCCCACTATTGTCTGTGTTCCTGGGTTATGCATATATGCATATAAGTTCTTTGGTTGATCTCTCCCCTCGCCCGACCCTTCCCTCTGAGGATCCTCAGTCTGTTGCATGCTTCCATGCCTCTGGAACTCTGGATCTATTTTCTTTGTCAGTTTATTTTGTTCATTAGGTTCCACATATAAGTGGTATCATGTGATATTTGTCTAGCACCTCTTCTTGATTTCTTTCTAACTGCCAACTCCAGTTTTTTAGATTACATTACACTTAAATCATCCTTTACCCTCCTGTACCCATCATCTCACATTTTACGTGTTTCACTTGTATATATTAATGGTTTTCTACTCTGATTTTATAGTTTTATACCTTAGTATAATATGTCTGAATGCAGGTTTATCTAACCTTTGTATCTGTATTGGTTACATCCTCCTAATTTTAGAAGCACCTTATCAAAGGGAAGGGATGTGGAAAATGTTAGGTAGTGCAGATGATTGGAGAGAAAAAGCTTTCTTGATTGCTGCTGTATCCTCAGCTCCTAAAACAGTGCCTAACATGTAATAGATGCTCAATAAATATTTATTGAAAGAATGAAGGAATAGTGTTTATGAACTAGAATTATTCAACTTCCAAAAGGGATGTCTCAGGAAAGATGAAAATTGGTATATGATTGATATATGGGTTAATTAATAGAAAACATTGACAATTATTTATATTCACTTGTGGCTTTAAAAGAATCAGATTTTGACAATAAAGGTTTAGATTTATAACTTTCATACTTGTTCCTCCCACTACCACCACATATGTGTGCATACACTCACATATACACATACATTATTTAGTCACCAAATTCAATTGATCCTACTTGTACCCCTCTTCCCCATCAATTCTTTGCCTCTTCATTGGTTTCTTTACCGTCAGTATCTTAATCTAATACATTTGCAATTAGAGTTAATTTTCTGAAACAAAGTTAATTGTGCACCTTTAATAGCTAATAGGATACACAACCCTTTTTATGGTGTATAAAGTTTATTCCCTGCCACTCTAGCTATAACACATTAGCTTGTTTTTTAAGCAAGCAATGTGATCTTATACCTATGTAACATTTTATATGCTGATCCTTATATCTTGAATGCCTTCTTGTCACCAACATTCTTTTAAAAATAAGGATTCTCTTTTATTAGGATAAAACTGTTTTCTTGATGACAAGTATTTTTCCAGGCATTGAAACAACTTTCCCTGTTGAAGGTGCTTACCACAGCATTTTCTCATTTCTGCTAAAGTGTCAGGGTAAGCAGTTAATGGCAAGAAAATGACCATAGTAATTTCAGTTTCTAATTATCAACAGGTAAAGGAACTTAAACATTCAAACAAACTAGAAATAACAGACATCAAACTGGAAGCAGCAAGAGCTAAGAGTGATCTAGAAAGAGAAAGAAATAAGATTCAAAGTGAATTGGATGGTAATATATAACTTTCCATGCTTTTTATTTTTACATCTAAACTAAAATTATTAAAATAGGTCACACTGAATTTTTATTTTCAGATTTTCAGCTTACTTGACTTTTAATGTTAGACCACATATGGATTGTTTTTTGTTTATATGTTGAATGTTCATTTTGTGATCTAACTTTTTAAAAAAATCATGGTTATGTTATAGTTACTTGATTAATACATAAATTAAGTGAAATTTTGCAGTGTGAATTTCATACTTCCTGAGTTTATAATTTTAAATCTATTTAGATCATCATGTGATTATTAGTTACAGGCCCAACTTTTACCTTTAAAAATATTTTTATGTTGACCCTGGCAGTGATTGAGCCTCGTTCAGCCTAAGCTTATTTTTAACCTCCACTTTACTGTTTAGAATGTCTTTCTCATCAGGATTCCTCAGAAATTATATTATTTCTGACTTTTCTTAAGTACTTAAATAGCTGCCTTTGGCCTGTAATTATCCTTGAGTTGGTCTTCAGCTGAACTGGCCTCTGTAGTTTTAGACAGAAGTTACGATGAATGATTGTTTTCATTATTAATTTCTACTTGATGTTGACTCATGAACTTACATAGTTAGGGAGTAAATTTTCTTAGGAATTTATTGAGTTTGGGATCCAGTTTTGCATTCTTTTTTTACTTTGAGTTACATAACAAATTTTAGCTATTTTATCTGCAAAATACTTGTCATCTAATTACAAGGAAGATTTATAAATTCATTTGACAAAATTGAAAGTTTCCAATTTATATTTCTACTAGAAATCTAACACCTCTGCTAGAATAATAGGTTTTGAAGAGTTCTATGATTTTATTCAGGCTGCCTCCGGCCAGCTTGATGATGATGTTCTTTGTGGGTCTTAGGTTACAGAACCTTTGTAGGGGTGAAGTAGGTACTTAAACCTTTTTGGCTATCAGCCAGGTTGATATCCCTAGCTTTAAAGATTCAAATGAATAAATGTAACCTTTTATTAACCTTTTGTGTGTGTATGCTAAATAAACTAATGACCGAAAAATTAACTCTGAGTTTTAGTTTGTTTCATTCTTAAGAAAGTTTATCAATGTAATAATCTTTGAGAATATATTTCCAGAGTGACTTACTTTCTATACTCTAATAGTTGTGTTATCAATTTATCAATGTTTGCTATTAAATGTGATTTTTCATCTTAATAAGATTGAGTATAGCACATTTTTCTCCTTAAAAAATACTAGGATTACAGTCAGATAATGAAATTCTCAAATCAGCTGTTGAACAGCACAAAGTGCTCTTAGCAGAAAAGGATCGTGAATTAATACGTAAAGTACAAGCTGCCAAGGAAGAAGGTTATCAAAAACTTGTGGTATTACAAGATGAAAAGTAAGTACATAATTACCTTTTTTTTTGCATTAAATCTCCTTGCAAATGAACACATTTTGCTGTCATATTATTCTTATTATAGTTCTTGTAACATAATTATCATCTGTTGTTTTAGGCTTGAACTTGAGAACAAATTAGCGGATTTAGAGAAAATGAAAGTGGAATATGATGTCTGGAGGCAGTCTGAAAAGGATCAGTGTGAAGAGAAATTTCGGGCTTCACAGATGGCAGAAGAGTCGGCCAGAAGAGAACTTCAAAGTATTAGGTTATATATTATATGTGTGTGTGTGTATGTGTGTGTGTGTATATATATATATA